CGTAGAAGCCATGAAGGGCCATCGAAAGTGGAAGAGGAAGCCGCCCCTCAACTCCTCCTCCTCCTCCTCTTTCTCGTCGTTGTTCTTTGTTCTCCTCTGCTCCGCTCTCTTGTTGGCTGCTGCTTTCTCGACCTTTCGTCTTTTTGGAGGTAATTTCAAGCTTTGCCCGTTAGTGATTTTGCATTGGAAATACTTGAATTAGTTGGTTTATTGTCTTAAAAATGGGATTTTGTTATCTGGGTGTTTGTTGTTTGGTTGGGATTCTCGGTCTTGAGACCATTCTGTGAGTTGGGTACGTTCTTTTTTTGACTGCGGAATTGGGTTGAGTTCATCACTCGTTGAACTTTGCTGAAGAATTGAAGCTTGCCCATTAGTGATTTCTTATTGAGAAATCTGAAATTAGCTGGGTTTTTTTTCTCAAAAATTGGATTTTTTTTGTCTGTGTGCTTCTTGTTTGGTTGTGGTTCTTGTTCTCGAGATCTTTTATCTGAATTAGGTTTTGTTCTTTATTCTTTTTTAAGGAAAGAATTTGGGTGGAGTTCATCAGTCAGTGGAGTTTTCTGTTTGATAACTGTCTTCTTCGATTTTCACATTTTTGTGGATTTTTTTTACCTTTTAATTATGCATAGATTTCGTTCAAATTTATTCTTAACTTAATTTTCAAGAACATATTACAGCCGATTTAATCTCCTACTTTCAGGGTGAACATTTGATTTAAAAAAAAATTAGTTTCAAGAATTCTCTCTGTTCTCAACCAATGTAATCTAATAACAAGTTTCTCTGATTCTTGTCTGAAAATTCTGCAACAGTGTCGTTCAAGCCAGTCCTGACCTCCACGTGGCAGTCTCCAGCTCTCAATGCTATCTCCTCAGAGCAGCCATTGCTTCTTCAGAGACCTCCCCCTCCCCCTCACCCTCACATCAAAATCCAACAAGCCATTTCATTCCCTGACTCAATCCTCTTCTTCATCAAACCCTCATCAACAATCCCAAATTTGAACGGCCTCAACTGCCTTTATCAGCACCCACATTCATCTCTAATCCCCAATCTCAGCCTCCCCGCAATCTCTTCTTCCATTAAAAACTTCTTCGTTCGTTGCCCTCTCCCTCCTCAAGGCTTCTCGGCCTCTCTCTCAACCCCTCACTCGAAATCTCTGTCCCCTGTTAAGCCTCTGAATTGGGATCATTTGGTCTACTCTGCAGTGCTTGATCGTCGAGGTAACACGACTGTAGTCTTCGCCAAGGGGCTCAATCTTCGCTCTGGGAGATTATCTGACGCAAATCGATATGAATGTGTCTTTGCCTTTGATTTCCGTAAACCTATATATGCACTCACTACTACTTCAGTTTCTGCTGCTCAAGAGGTTTTTCGATGCAGAACGCCTCCAAGTGTTCTGAATAGAGTGACTCTCAAACCCCCATTTGTGTCTATTAAGACTAGAGGTCGTGGCTCGATCACTTTGCCTACGATTGCACGCCCTGAAATACTATCGAGTCTAAAGAGGAAGAAGCATGATATGTGTGTATGCACTATGGTCCGCAACCAAGCGCGATTCTTGACCGAATGGATCGTGTATCACTCTAAAATTGGTGTTGAACGTTGGTTCATCTATGATAACAACAGTGACGATGATATTGAAAATGTGGTCAGCTCAATGAAATCAGTTAGTTTGCACCATTGGCCTTGGATTAAGACTCAGGAAGCAGGGTTCGCTCATTGTGCACTTCGTGCACAGGATTCTTGCAATTGGGTTGGATTCATTGACGTCGATGAGTTCTTGTATTTACCAAATAATTCGACATTGCACGATTTGCTTCGCAATTATTTGCAAAATCCTTCAATTGGAGAGCTTCGAGTTTCCTGTCACAGTTTCGGGCCATCTGGGAGGACGAAAATACCCTCAGAGGGCGTGATCCTTGGTTACACTTGTCGGCTGAATGCACCAGAGCGACACAAATCGATCATTCGCCCTGATGCACTGAATCCTTCGTTGATCAACATTGTGCATCACTTTCACTTGAGAGAGGGGATGGAGTATGTGAATTTGGACAGTAGGGTTATGGTGATAAACCACTACAAGTATCAAGTATGGGATGTGTTCAAAGAGAAGTTCTACAGGAGAGTGGCTACTTATGTTTCAGATTGGAAAGATGAGGAGAATGTGGGGTCCAAGGATCGAGCTCCGGGATTGGGGACGAAGGTGGTGGAGCCTCCTGATTGGTCGTCGAGATTCTGCGAGGTCAATGATACCGGGCTCAGGAACTGGGCGTTGCAGGTTTTTGGCAGATTCTAACACTGAGATTCTTCCTTGGTGATTGAGAGGATACACTGATTTCATTCATCAAAGTTCATCATACAGACACGGGTCTAGGTAAATTGAAAGTTAGTTTTTGTTATCTTTGATGCCATTGTTCTGTCTTTTGATATTATAGATAGATAAGGGAGGCGAAATCAATTCTTTTTGTATATAAAGGTACAAATAAAGTCGTTTAGAGCATTGAAGGTCAGATAGCTACCAATTGAATGGAGATAGTTGTATTGTTGCATACAGACCCTGTAAGAGTTCTATTGCTGCATATAGTTGGCCTGAGTTTAAAAAAAAAAAAAGAGTCTATTGTTGCAGTTAGACACCCTGAAAAAGGTAAGAAACAATTTCACTCAGGGGGTCTATCCGCAACCGTAAAACTACAGGGTTAGCAAGTTCAGTCTGGCGATAGTACAGGGGGCTATCCTGAAAATGAGCCTTCTCTTTATTGTGCTTACTACGTTACTTCTCTTTATACACCTGTAACTAGTTCTCATCATAGTTTTTCATATTTGTTGTTGTTATGTTCTTATCGTGTTGTGATCGTGATCTGATATTCATTGAAAGTTAATTTATGAACCCCGTGGGTCTCTTTGAGCGTCAATTCTGTTTTCAGGATAAAGAAAAGATGCTATACCTACCTCAATGTGGTCCTCAAAGAATCTCTAGCTTCCTCATGATCCTTAATTAATCACATGCTAACTTTGCTGGCTGAAAGTTAAAAGATGATTGCTTGCTTTCTCCAAAAGAAATTATTCCCCCTGAAGAAAAATTTAATCTTATCACCCTTCCCTGATCCTCTCCCTCTCTATCTGGTAGTTATCCATTGCAAGTTCTGGCAATGTGATTTTGATGGTCGCCGTCAACTTTCACTTTGTTGTGAATTGGTTGGTTGTTTGACTTTTAACATGAAGGAAAGCTTTTGGTTGATGATTAAAAGGGAATTAACATCTAATTAGAACTTTCCTTTCCCCTATATGACTAGTATTTGACCAACTAGAGGGGTTAATTTGAAACAAATTATAAGAGTTGGGGGGACCTTATAGCAATTCCAATGATTTGACGGACTAATTTTAAAACAACTTAAGAATTAGGGGGATCAATAGCATTTTCAGTGATTTTAGAGGCTAATTTCAAATATTTGGATTAGTTTGTATCTTCCCATGTGATTGTAGGACCTTTATATAGAGTTTGTTACAAGCAATTGCCAAAATATTGTCTTTTCAAAGCTAGGCGACACCATGTTTTTGTCCTGCTTTTGAGGGTTCTATTCTTCAATTCAACAGTAATCTATGGAATAATTATTTTCTTGATTTAATATGAAAGGAAGTTTTATTAGCAACATGACTAAACAAATGTGATCAAAATGATAAACTATGAAGCATTCCGATATTTAAAAAAAACAAAAAAAAGAGCAATTGACTCATGAAAACTATAATTATGCAGCAAACTTTGCTTAAAGAGTCAAGTCTACGTTAAATAATTAGTATAATTTAGTGCATTCTGTCGGTACTTTGCCCTTTCTTTACTTTGCCTTGTCAGCACATTCTTAACTCTAAAATCATTCTGATATTACCGTAAAGCAACGCCAATCATTTTTAAATTTTCAGGACACATTGCTTGATTTATTATGGCCTTGTTTTTTTAGAGACTTTGTTGTTCATTTCATTATGTACTCCTTAATAAAGGTAAGGAGAATTGATTTCAATTGTTCGAAAAATAATAATTAATAATGTTGGAATTGAAAATTAATGCCTTAGTTTTAAAGATAAAGTGCTACTTTTGAGACTTGTAATGTAAAAAAGCTATCTTGGATGAGCATGAAATTTGGAAATTCATGTGCATAAGTTTCAAAGCTTCGTTTTGAAGTCTACGTATTGTTTCTTTCCAGCAAAGCAGTCTAATTTAGGTCTATTTATTATATAACCTGAGGTCAATCAAATTTCAATGAAGTTATTGATTCTAATTTAGACTGATTTTGAGTGATACAGAAAGAATTTAGTTGGACTAATGAGAGAGAGAGAGAGAGAGAAGAAAAGAAAAAGGAAACATAACAATAGTATTAAATTAACCGAACCTATAAAGAGCTCTACTATAGGAACCTAAAATATAACACCAACAGCGAGGACACGTGAGGTGTCCCTCTCCTATTGTATAATGAGCTGGCAATCATTAATACTGGCAATCATTAATGATGACCAGCTCATTATGCAATAGGAGGGGGACACCTCACATGTCCCTCATGTTGGTCCCATATTTTGGGTCATTGGGGAATTTTTCATTTAGGGCCCCCGTTTGGATAATAGAAGTATTAGAAGTAAGAAGTAGGTTATAGAAGTAACTTTCAAAGTTATGAAGTAGGAAGTAGTGGAAATAGCATTTTTTTGTTTGTTTCATATATTTTTAGAAGTAATAGAAGTAGAACTTCTTCCTCTTCATTTACTTTTTTTGTTTGGATAACATTTTAAAAATATTACTAGGAAGTAATTTTATCAATGAAAAGTTGTTAGAAGTAACTAATAAAGGAAATATTAATAAAAAAATTATTTATGTCCTAATTAATATGCATTCCAACTACTTCCGAGCTACTTCTGAGTATTGAGGATTGGAAAAATATTTTGGAAGTAAGCATGACACGTAGGCGCCACATAAGCATTTAGGGAAGTATTAGAAGTAAGTTTTCAGAGAACCAAACACACTTTTTTGCTTGGAAGTAGCAGAAGTAGCTTTTACTTCTTTTACTTCAGCTACTTCACAATTACTCTCGGAAAATGTTTCAGTTGATTAAAGTACCTTAAGCTTTTTTCTGTTGAGAGAAGTTGTAGTTCATTCAAGGAAAAAAAGGAGGGTAAAAATCAAAAATTTTAATCACATATGAACAATTTGAAAAGCTAATTTGTTAATGTAACTAAGCCAGCTAACCTTAAAAATTGATGGTAGGCACAAAATACAAACACAAAGGATGGATGACGACAAGCTCATTTGAGCTGTTAACATACGGGAGCAACTTACTCGTATTTTTTTTTTTAATTTTCTCTCGGAATTATTATTGGAAGAAGGCTGGAACTGGTTTCCATATGTGTACAAAATTAAACATCCATGTTTATAACTTTTTATACTTTGGTTAGTTCTAGGTTGTTCCTTCCTCTTTCTATAACCTTTTTTTTAAACATAGAAAGTAGAAGTAGGATTTCATATCTTTATGACATAATCTTCAATACTATTTGCTATACGATCGAGAACCAAAAAATATTAAGAGTCATCGTTGACCCTAATGTTTTTAAAATAATATGTCCTTTCAAGAAAAACTATTTAAACATTAAGGCCCTGTTTGACAACAGGCTAATAGAAGAGTTAAGATGACTTAACCCCCAACGTACTCCCTCCCCCCATCCCCCAAAAAAAAAGAAAAAGAAAAACCAAGGCCTAATTAAATCTCACGTGAGGTATAAGTGAAAGTTAGCTCGTTGTTTGTCGGGCTAACTACTATGTGTGAAGAATTACATTAGTACCCTTGAGTTTCATTTGTACTCATTATTTATTATTATATTCATCTTAAAATGAAATAGAATACACGTGACAAGTTATGTCGATTTCATCTCCGCTAAAATTTTCCAACGTAACAAACTTCATGGGATGTTCTTCTTGGATGGGATCCCTGCTCTTCGGAGGATATCATACAAGACATCTCTGACTAAGTCGTGCCTGTATATATTATACTTGGTTAATAGCATTTATTCTAGATTTTTTTCCTTACTCTTTCTCATTAATACTTTTTTTTGGGAGATTTCTGTAAATATTTGCTTAGTTGCTTTGTTGTTGGTAGGAAATGCGGTATGCAATATTTGTTATAATTAATTAATTGCAAATTGAATATGACTAGTTATATTTCTTAGATATATATTATTAACTCCAAATCCGATGGAAACGGCAGGATTTGTAGATCTTATTACAACTTTGAGTTGCAATTAGTAACTTGATGACATGATATTAATTTTTATTTTAGGGGTTTTTGTTTTTAGACCTATTTGTTTACTCAACTTTACCATTAAACCCAAGCATTATTACTTGTATCTTTAAGCCCAATTCTCTTTTTGTATTTATTTTTAAACCCAATCTCCAAAATACAATACTTAAATCACCTGTATTTATACAGAAACAGGGTAAAGTCCCCAAAATACCCCTTTCATTAGCCCCATATAAACCCAATTCTCTCTCCTCATTTGCCCCTTTTTCAATTTCAGCCCTAATTGAAAAACGAAAACCTCCCTTCTCAACACCGTCGTCGTTGCCGTTGCCCGTCGCGTCTCGCCGCGCGCTTCGGCGCGTTCCCGTCTCGCCTATCGTCGTCGCTCCGTCGCCGGTCTCCTTTGCTGTTGCCGTCGCCCGACTCTGTCGCTCGGAGCCCATCTCCCTTCGGCCTGTGTAGCCTCTCTGTGTGCGTGCCGTTCGTGGTGCCTGGAGCATCCACCGGCTCTCCGAGCTCCAGGTGCTGCTCCGTCCTTCAAGGTGTCGACCGCGACTACCTCTGTAGCACCATTGACATCATCCAGTGCCTTCCCGCCACCTGCAAGCTCCCCTAAGTTACCTCTAGTAAGATCTTCTGCCCCGCCTTTTTCTTGTTTTTGGTTTCTTTCTATGGTTGGATGATTTTTATTCTTGATGCAAATGTTAAAGGCGCTAATTAAGGATGGAATGAAGCAACACCCGAGGAATAAAAATGTCGTTTTTTTTCTCTTTTTTCCCGGTTCTTGCTTCTTTCTGAATGTTGTTAGGCCTCTAGTTGAAGTTTAAGTATGAAGTGAATAAAAGCTTAACCTTGATTTTGCTCTTTTTTTTTGAAATCTCGCTGTCACTGCTACTTGAAATGTAGGCTTAAGGCCTTCGATTTTGTTTGGGAACTAACTGAGAAGATGAAATAACATTTCAGAGTGGTAAGAAGGATGCTAACGGCATATTCGGCAAACTCCCAAAATGGAAAGCCAGTTGCTGAAGGTATATTTTTCATAAGTGTAACGTTCATTGAACTTGTATATTCAGTCTATTGTTCTTTTGGTCCGCTTATATTTTGATTTCAGGATATCAACGTGATCCTCAAGCTATATTCCCCGGATGCTGGATACCAAATGTGATATGCAAATTTTGTGTGTGTATAAATATATGTTTGGAAATTGATTTGTAAAATATTATTCTCAGTTTGTTATTGTAGGCTGTCTAAAAATCACAATAGATAGCTTAT